GAAGGGTGTCCCACCGCATTGGTGCTTCAGTAAACCTGGTCTTGAGCTCCTACCACGTCTCTCAAGCATTAAAGGACAATCTTCTTGACTAGTGCACTGAAAGCCAGACATGAAGACAGAAAAGCACGTAAAGCTACATGCATTGCTTTGCGCACCCCTATACCCCCAGTCGAACTGGGAAGGTTGCCTGATCCCATTGCTGATCCTCTAGTGATAGGTTCAGGGTTGATCAGGTTGATCAGGTTGATCTCAGGTGTGTGTCATATTCATTGAGTGTTGGGTTGTCAAAAAAGGGTGCACACCTCAGGAAGTGAGTCTTGGCATAGTAAGACACCTTGTGAGGAGATACAGAGCATCATGGGCATCAAAATTGCTTATTCTCTCCTCCATTCTCATCAGGTCATTCAATTTTTCCTTGAGGACAGTGTCGATGGCCTGGTGACCCAGCGGTGCTCCCAAGAGGGTACTGTTGGATGGAGTGGTAGTAGAGACTTCCAGGAGGATTCTTCACACTGCATTATTTCCTGGTTTACTGTGATGATTTCACACTTGGAGGGATTGAGGATGAGTCCCAAGTCTTCTCCCTGTGTTTTCACCAGTTGTAGGTCCTCTAACAAGGACTCTTCAGTACCTCCCAGAGTGCCATCATCCAGGTACCAGATGTTGAGCTTACTACGTAGGTTGGAAGTTAGTTCTCTTACTGCCAAGTAGAAGAGAAGTGGAGCGAGTGGGTTACCCTGCTGAACACCCTCTGATGAGAGAATTTCATGTTCTCCAAACAAAAGAATTGAGGGTTGGCTGTAGCTGGCTGAAATGAAGGGAAAAAGGCTGGGGAACCGATCCCGAACGGCCGGCAAGACATCTCTCTTCACCATATTAAAGGCATTTCTAAAATCAAGTTTGACAATGGCCTTTTCTTCTGATAGGTCCCTGATGTAGGCTCTTGCCGCATGAGCTGCGGCTTGAGTGCCTTGAGAGACCCCAAAGCCCAGTTGGTGTGGCTGGAGTAAACTTGCAGCTTCTCGGCGAATGTTTCTTACTGCTGCTTTGGTAATGAGACAGCGAAGAGTGTTTCCAACAGCAATGGGTCTGATTCCCCCATCCTTCTTCTTCAAAGCACATAATGAGGCTCGAAAAAACAAAGGTTTAATTTCTTCTGGGATTCGCCCAGCCAGGCAATTGTTGACGAAAGCTGTTAACTCGGTGAGAAGAATTGATGCACATGTACCTAGTACTGGATTTACCATCTCTTTGAGGTGTTGTGGTCGAATTCTAGTGTAACCTCCTGTAGATCCTGCTGGAAATGAAACATTCGCCTTATAGACTTCTGATTCTGGCAAAATTAATTGTTCAGTGATGGGGGTCTTCCTCAGGGTTGTCGTTGATGTCTATGGTGTCCCTGTTGGATGCTTGTCTCTTAGTACTTGGGCTGTGGTCTCATTGTGGGCTACAGTGTCGTCACTTGTAATTATTCTGATTGCTCCCACTGTGTTACCCTCTTCGATTTATTATTATATTATATTATTTATTATTATTATATTAATATTATATTATATTATATTATATTATTGAAACCATGAACGAGTGGTATTGATCAATAACAACACTGCACTAGCCAAGGACTCAAACCCATGTCCTACTGGCCCTCCTCATGGTGAGCCAGAACCACATGATGCCTTGGTAATGTGGGTTAAGGTGTGTCATGTGGTTCTAGCTCACCATGAAGCGGGCCAGTACAACATGGGTTTGAGTCCTTGGTTAGTGCAGTGTTGTTACTGATATATATATATATATATATATATATATATATATATATATATATATATATATATATATATATATATATATATATATATATATATATATATATAAATATATATATATATATATATATATATATATATATATGCAAAACAACCACTGTGAAAGAAGAGAGAAATTCCAAGCACTTTCGTGACTACTCGCACTATCAAGAGTTCATAGATGAGGAAATATCCAAAATTTACGAAATAGCTAATGATTTGAAATGCACAAGAAACGTAATTGATAAATCTTTTAAAGTTGCTAGAAATACTTTTTACAATCCAAAAAGGGACAACCAGCCTTATTCAACTAAAAATATGTTGGTTCTCCCTTACCATGAAAACTTGGTTGATATACCTTCTCTTCTTCAGTCTTTTAATATCAAAGTTGGATTTAAAAATCTTGATACAGTAAAATAAATTTTGATGAAGAATCCCCCCCAAAATGCTGACGGATGTGTCTATAAGATTCCTTGTAAAATTTGCAATAAAGTTTATTACGGTCAATCTGGTAAAAATCTCGAACTAAAATTAAAACAAAATAAATATAGCATTAGAACTGGACAAGATTCCAATGCTCTATTTATTCATGTGAGAGATTTTGACCATCCAATTGATTTTCAAAAAGTTGAGAAAGTTGTATCAAGCAAGTCCATGGTCGACAGGAATATAATTGAATCTTGTTTCATAAAAAGCAGTTTTGACAATAATATGAATATTTCCTTTGGTTTATATAAATTAGATCCATTCATAATTAATAGAATTTGGGAAGAATTTAATAATTCATTGGACAAATAATAAATTTTAAAATTCTTAATTCTTGGGTAGAATAGTTTGTTCGTGGGTTGTATGAAGGACCTGTCTAGTTGGGCCAGTGGGCCTGCTGCAGTGTTCTCTTTCTTATGAGTCGCGCATCAGCTGTTGCTTTGTTGTGGGATGTGATGTAGACAGCCTGTATTGTCTGCACAGACAGCCAATGCTGTCTGCCAGCTTAATTCATATTTTGCGCTATGCTGGTGCTGCCACCTAGGCCTTCCCACTTCAGTATGCCCAGACTTGCCTCGCTCTCACTCACACAGCTCTCCCAGCTCTCTCTCGTGGGCATGGCCCTGCCCGGGCCATGAGCACAAACACACAAGCCTGTGTAACCCACCACTACTTATCAATAAAGTAAGAAGCCTCCGAAGACCTTTATAATCCACACCCCGCTTTCAGTTCACCAAATAATCTCATTAAACATTGGTGGGAAGCAGTGGTTGCAGCAGTTGTGTTTGCCCGGAGAGAGGAAGGAAGAGGTATGAAGTCATCTTCACCTTATCACCCTATACAAGAAGCATCCATCTCTCAACGAGTTATCCTGATGTCGTGTCTGCACGTTTCAGTATCCAGAGCCAGGTACAAGTAGGATCTAGCCGAAATTTGGATGCTACAGCCTCCCACGCTGTTTCTCAAGCCACGTGTTCAGCATCACTTGTATGTTGCTGTTGTTGTTCAGCTCAGCACAGCTGTTTCAGCAAGCCAGAGGTGATTTTTGTGGTGATTTCTGCGTCCAGTGTGCGTTTCGCCGTGTTGTGGGTTTGAGAGGAGAAAGTGGCCAGATCCTCCCTAGCCATATACTCACACCTCACCAGCCTACCACCACACTCCACCACTATGTACTCACTCCCTCTGCTGTGTTTTCTGCTGTTTTTCGTGTGAAGTCATTGCCAGACCTGAGTAGCACCACTGTGCTAAGTCACCCTTGTGACCAGTGTGTTTGACAGCTATCAGACAGACTGAGCGTACGAGCCCTCTTGTACAGAAAGCTTTTATGCTCGTCGCTCGTGATGTTCTGTAGAATCGTACCTGCTACGATTCCCATCGAGATTTGTTTCACTTCACCTCCAGAAACAAGTCTGGGGACGCTTAGGCTAACCTCTGCTATAACTCCAACTGTCGAGAGATGATACTCGTCAAGCCGCAGCCAGCCCTGTCGGCAGGCGCTGTGTCAGCCTCGTGTCACAAGCTTCAGTGAGCAGTCTGCACAAAGAAGATGTCACTGACTGCTAGCTCTCTCACTGCAGTCTGGTGTATGATGTTACGACTCCCAGATGTTTTGCCCAGTCGTCTCTGCCACGACTCGCTCCACAACTCGCTCCACGCTCGCTGGCAGTGACAGCCCAGCGACAGTACCAGTCGAGAAGTGTCCTCCTGAGTCGCTTGCCAGAAGTCCTGCCCAGTTGCCGAGTTTTGTCGACGCCTCGCTCGAGGGCACCAGCATGTCGTGCCCCAGGTTGAGTGAAAACCTGCAGCGACTCCTACGATGTCTGCTTCACCGTTCCAGAGGAGACCGTACCCTGTTACGTCACAGCTCAGCCGCAGCGATGTCTCCCGTGTTGCAGTATCTGTCCAGACGCAGGAAGGCGTGCAGTGATGCCCATCGATGCTCACTGCCTATGACCACGATGTTTAGCACACCCCACATGTTTTTTTCTTCCCTCCCTGTAGGAAGTTTTTTTCCATGTTCATATGTATATATATGTTTTTATTTTGTGTTCTGTGCCCTGTTCCTTCGAGAGAGAGAAAGACCGAGTTTCTTTTACTACCAGTATTGTCGCGTCGGGACGACGCGCGGTAGGTGGCCGAGTGCATGTAGACAGCCTGTACTGTCTGCACAGACAGCCCATGCTGTCTGCCAGCTTAGTTCATATTTCGCGCTATGCTGGTGCTGCCACCTAGGCCTTCCCACTTCAGTATGCCCAGACTTGCCTCGCTCTCACTCACACAGCGGCCTAGCAGCAAGACACAAGGCCTCTCCCAGCTCTCTCTCGTGGGCATGGCCCTGCCCGGGCCATGGGCACAAACACACAAGCCTGTGTAACCCACCACTACTTATCAATAAAGTAAGAAGCCTACGAAGAACGTATCATTGCTACCTACGCTACCTTCATCGTCACCAAACCGCTGTTCAGCAGTAAGAACAGCAATAACAGTGATAGTGAGGTGTGGTCTAGACCCTTTATATGCCTACCTTGATGCATTACTTTTATTGTTCCTTGATAATATGAGTAGTCACGAAAGCGCTTGGAATTTATTCTTTCAGAGTGGTTGTTTTGCATATATATATATATATATATAATATATAATATATATATATATATATATATATATATATATATATATATATATATATATATAATATATATATATCACAATGAAAATAGAAAAGAATACTTAAACACTTTCATGTTCTTTCATTACTTTCAGAGAAATAGAAAGGAGAGGCCAGAGAAGTTTGCCTGATAAACCTAACTTGCCGAACTCCTTGAAAAAAAATGGGGTTTTCCCCCAAAATTCTAAAAGCTTGATAGATACATTTCTTTCATTGACAGTGATATATCTTCCCTCCAGCCGGAGGGCCCAAGAAAGAAGACAGAAGAAAGAAGAAGATGACGACACCCCCAACCGGGGGCCACAGCCGGGTCACCATATGGAGAAGACCCGGGCCGGAAGTACCGGCAAACCTCTAATGAATGAATGAAATGACAGTGATATAAAATATTTCGTTTTTGGATGAGAACTAACTTAAAAACCTCACCAAGCCTTACTAAAAATAGCGTAATTATATTTAACTAAATTCTGCTATGGTCAGTTTAAATTGATTTAATATTGCTTCAGATGAATGGCATATAATAATAATAATAACAATAATAATTTGTTATTATTATTGTTATAATGTAGTAAGTATGAAGTATCTGAATTTACACACAGTACAATACCATTATCTCCGCTATTATATGATAAAACCAATAATATTGTTACTATAAAATACTCAATAAATCACGTGCATAATACACAAGAAAACAATGTACATACGTAATACAAGAGTTACAAAATTCTGAAAAATTAGATCCATGACAAAATTACAAAAGCATATGCATGTAAAAAGTGCATAATAATTCTATGTATCTTAAAACTTTTACATCATAATCTTCTGAATCAAATACTTCTATTTGTAAATTTTCTTTATCATAAATGCTTCATATCAAGATTCTCTAGATCAATATACGATTGACAAAATCTGTTCAATGTAGTTTAGTAAATAATCCCCAAGTGGACTTCTGCTCTCAGAATCATGAACCTGCTTCAAAAATGCCTTATAATTCTTTTCTGCCATATGCCAAAACATTTTACCATAACTAAGGTTTTCTTGTTCTTCTTCAGCAGTGCTTCTAACATCTTCATTGTTTTTAGTATATAAAGCAGAGTTGTTGAACTTAAAGAGAATTTTGTGTGGGAATTTAGCTTTTTCTACTGCACTGAGAACTTGTGGTTGTTGTCCATTAACAGAAGTGAGCAATAGAAAAACTTTATGAATATCCTTTTCACACATGGAGAGAATTCTGCTCGAAAAATATATATGTGACAGAGGAAGCTGAGTCAGCGATGAGTTAACTACAAAGACTGCAGCATCAACATGCTGAACAATCTTTGTTGTTTTAGTTATATGTTCTTTTGCATGCTGCCAAAACACATTCCACATTCTGACATATGAGTCTTCATCCCATAATGCAATATCAATGATAGTCAGTGTGTGTGGGTAGTTGAAACCTTCTTGGTGATGAATGGTGTAACAAGTAATATGTTGAGTCCGATCCTGGGTCTGGCTGTTGTGAATGTCTTCAGGTATTAATTGGAAGCGAAAATTATCGTTCCATTTAACACCAAAGATGTAGTTGACGAGACCATTGATCACAGTTGTCTTACCCGAGTCTCTTGCCCCTATTAGTAATATTACTTTTTCCCGAGAATTTTCCTTTGGTGTTCCTACATCATACTTCCTTATATCATCATTATCATTACAGAAAACTAACCTTGATTTAAGGGTGTAGATAGAAGGAGTTCCTTCAAGCTTAAGATTTGATGTTGAACAAAAATTTTCTTTCAACATTTTACTGGAGTCAAACTGTATGGCATCATGAGTTTTTAAAGAACTACAATTACTGTCCTCACTGAATCCTGCTGCACCACAGTCTGCAGCTACCTTGAACTTAGATTCGAAATTTGATGTAATGTTTGTTACGTACGTGAGTTGATCTGCCTTTACGGTTGCTATTGTAGTCCAAATATCCGTCTCTTCTTTCTGCTGCTTCAGTATATAATGTTGTATGCTACAATCCGAACCCATAAACAATGGTTTTGACCATTCAATTTTTATAGTTGTTGATGAAATTTGCCACACCTGAGGCATTCCTGGAGGACTGGTTGGTCTAGTGGAGACAGTGTTGGTCTCACTGGTAGGTCCCACTCCAGCCTCACACAAACTTCGTACATTCACCTTGTAACAACTGTTGACATCAAGCTCTGTGACAGTGAAGCTGAGAATGTCTGAACTCGTTTTAAAGCTCACAGGGTTATCGCCTGTACTCATTTTCTGAAGAATTATTTCGTATTCTTGAACAGTTGATGCTCCAAATTTTGGTGGTGTCCAGGTAATGGTAATCCTATTATGAGTACTTTGTTGAAGGTCAGCTTGAGGCATGCCAGGTGCTGAGGGAAGTATATAATTCTTGTATAAGAGACGGCCAAGCCTGTAACACTCTATATTAGCTTGACAGTTTAATGTATCAGAAAAGCCCATTGACACTACAAAAGCAGTCTCGTTAACTTTTTTATTAAAGTTAAAGAAATCTCTAAATATTATGGCTCCTTCCATCATGGATATTTGATTATCCTCGTCTTTACTGGACAAGGTGTTGTCTTCAAGGTTCCTTTCAATTGCTACATAGTCATTTGTAGTATAATATTCATTTCTATTATACTTCTCCATTTTTGAAAGATAAGAGTTGTTTTTTGGCAGAATAATTCTCAAGCATAGAATGTAGTTACAATTATTCTCAGGATTCATGATAAATGACTTTAATTCGCCATGGTCTGAGGCAAATTTGATCTCTGACAGTGTGTCTATATATTTATTGAGAGTTTTAACGTGATCTTCTTTATCTTGAAGCCAACTGTTAAGCTTCTTGTAACTGAATGGAGATGCTTCTTTCTTCCTTAGAAGATCCTCCAGAAGGTATTCCTCTTCCCGACCTCCTTTGATACGAGGCAGCAACACTGACAGTTTACTCTGAAGTTCACACTTGTAAATATTAATAAGGGTTTTAAATTTAGATATTTCACTTTGGAGAGTTTTCATTTTCTCAGCAACATAAGAATTAAATATATCATTACACCTTACATTCAACTCTTGGAAATTTTCAAAGACTTTTTCTATCTCACTGGTCAAGTTTGTACTAATATTACGAACTAATCTGCTGCCTTTGCTACCCAAACGTGTTAGAGGATACAGTGTAACTTTGATTGGTACAGCATTTTGTCTGTTATCTCCTAAGAATGTCGGTAAGTGTTTGTAAACCCGAACAACATCTTCATAGGAACAAGGATTTTGTGGAAGAAGAAAATCTCCAATAAATGTACATTTATAATTCTCTACTATTTTCTTTTCATTGTTGGATAGATTCAATTGGTCGTTAATGACAACAGACATATTTGGTATTTTGTTCAGCATAACTTGCATAGCTCCAAGAGTCTCTTTATCATGTGAAGAGGAGCAACAATCCCTCTCAAAAACAAAGAATGCATGTGCTCCATAAAGTATTTCAGTGACTACATGTGTTGCAGTTTCTTCATCAATTATATCAGGGTACTGCACTTTTCCTGGACCAAGTTGATCCATCGTCATATACTCCGACCTGGTTGTACACTTGTAATGCACGGTGATTCTCTCTTGCTTGTCAGAATATTTTTTATTTTCTAGGTATTTCCCAGACCTAGACACTTCTACCATACCCGAGACCAAACTCAGCTTCAGACTACTATTCACATCAAGAGCTGAGACTTTCTCTTCCATAGAGTCGCTAATAATTAGTCTGAAATCAGAGGATTCATTTGAAAGAACATCTATTTCTTTTAGTGTTGATCTGTCCCAGAGAGTTTTTCCAGGGATTATTTCATCTTTTGTACAGTCATATAACATCCCAAGCCGGAATGTACGACCAAGTCCAGCAACAGAGACAATTTTATCACTTGTAGAATACATCTTGCATCACAGATCTAACACCCACCACCACCATATATCCTCATAACATATGAAACTCTAAAATATTTGTCTCAACAGGTGACAATTATTCTGCTTTACATACAATTGTGTACATATAACTGACGGAACAAATAATAATTACTGTTAGTCCTGACATAATGCTGAGACAGTAGCGTTGTGATCATCTTAGTCTGGGGTTACGGTTGACCACTCTGACACACTGCTGAGACAATACAGTTATGGTATTAATGTTTTAGTCTGGGAGTACTGTCCAGGAGAAGGCACCGCTGACGTTCTTGATATGCTAATCAGAAGCTGACGTTGGAGTATTCCAACAGTGTTGACACAACTGAGGTAGAATCATGCAGATCTGAAATATAAAATGATTTCTATAGCCAAATATACTTAATTCGTAAAATATTTTTATTTTATTCTTTAACTTAATCTTTGTTAACATTTATACATTATTTATTAACCTTTTTTTTTCATTGATCAGAAGGTGTTTGATGCAATCAGTCCCTCAGCCTGGAGTAAATGTAATCAGTCCATCAATCTTGAAAAGAATTCTGTTCAAGATTCATGTACTGACCACATCGATCCCAGGTTGACGGACTGATTACCACACACACATTTTGATTTTCACCACTCTTCGTAGTATTGGACTGATGAAGCCACTGTGTGGAGAAACTTTTCCTCAGTACATATACCCAAGTGTTGTACATGTGCCAAATTTATCAACTTTTCGGTTCTCTGAATCATTTTCCTAAGCATCTTTTTTTATATTTCTCGTTCTCATAGGTAAACACAATCAAAACTGTATTTTGTATTTAAGGTAATATGTATAGTCTCCCTAATTATGAAAATAGTTATTAGGTACACTGTAATGCACATTATTATATACGCTGAGCGACCCATTTAATAGAGCAGAATTATGTTTTGTGAGTGTGATTTGATGAAAAGACTTCAATATTTAGAGTTTTGTTGAGATATTTGATACTTGAATATTCTTAGCTACAAGTTTTTCGATGTCAGCAATTTATATATATACGTATATATGTCGTGCCGAATATGTAAAACTGGTCAATTAGCAAGAACTAATTTAAAATTAAGTCATTTCTAAAATTTTCTCTTATACGTTTAAAGATATATTTTTTCATTAATGTTAAAGTAAAAATTTATAAATTTGCACCAAAAGAATCTTAGAAAACTTGCCTAACCTTATTATAACAAGCCCAATTCCTAGATGCACTAGAAGACAAAAAGAATGCAGATGTAATATATATACAGACTTTGCAAAAGCCTTCGACAAGTGTGACCATGGCGTAATAGCACACAAAATGCGTGCTAAAGGAATAACAGGAAAAGTAGGTCGATGGATCTATAATTTCCTCACAAACAGAACACAGAGAGTAGTAGTCAATAGAGAAAAGTCCGAGGCAGCTACGGTGAAAAGCTCTGTTCCACAAGGCACAGTACTCGCTCCCATCTTGTTTCTCATCCTCATATCTGACACAGACAAGGATGTCAGCCACAGCACCGTGTCTTCCTTTGCAGATGACACCCGAATCTGCATGACAGTGTCTTCCATTGCAGACACTGCAAGGCTCCAGGCGGACATCAACCAAATCTTTCAGTGGGCTGCAGAAAACAATATGAGTTCAACGATGAGAAATTTCAATTACTCCGATATGGTAAACACGAGGAAATTAAATTTCATCAGAGTACAGAACAAACTCCGGCCACAAAATAGAGCAAAAAAAACAACGTCAAAAACCTGGGAGTGATCATGTCGGAGGATCTCACCTTCAAGGACCATAACATTGTATCAATCGCATCTACAAGAAAAATGACAGGATGGATAATGAGAACCTCCAAAACTAGGGATGCCAAGCCCATGATGACACTCTTCAGGTTGCTTGTTCTATCTAGGCTGGAATATTGCTGCACACTAACAGCACCTTTCAAGGCAGGTGAAATTGCTCACCTAGAAAATGTACAGAGAACCTTCACGGCACGCATAACACCTCAACTACTGGGAGCACTTGAAGTTCCTGAACCTGTATTCCCTGGAACGCAGGCGGGAGAGATACATGATTATACACACCTGGAAAATCCTACAGGGACTAGTACCGAACTTGCACACGAAAATAAATTACAACGAAAGCAAAAGACTTGGCAGATGATGCAACATCCCCCCAATGAAAAGCAGGGATGTCACTAGCATGTTAAGAGACCATACAATAAGTGTCAGGGGCCTGAAACTGTTCAACTGCCTCCCAGCATACATAAGGGGGATTACCAACAGACCCCTGGCAGTCTTTAAGCTGGCACTGGACAAGCACCTAAAGTCGGTACCTGACCAGCCGAGCTGTGGCTTTTACGTTGGTTTGCGTGCAGCCAACAGTAACAGCCTGGTTGATCAGGCTCTGATTTACCAGGAGGCCTGGTCACAGACCGGGCCGCGGGGGCGTTGACCCCCGGAACTCTCTCAAGGTAAACTCCAGGTAATCCAAGTAAATATATTGTAAATACGTTTACAATAATTTAATAATAAACAAACACAATGAAATATATTTTTTTTCGTTAGGTTCAGAATGATTTTTGAGAAATTATTGCATACACAAATTTTCGCTTGTCTTATATGGCAAGATCACGATATATATATATATATATTATATATATATATATATATATATATATATATATTATATATATATATATATATATATATATATATTTTATATATTATATATATTATATATTACATAATATATATATATATATAATATATATATTATATATATGTAATATATATATATATATATATATATATATATATATATATATATATATATATATATATATATATATATATATATATTTATATATATATTTATATATATATATATATATATATATATATATATATATATATATATATATATATATATATTATATATATATATATACAACAGGATCACAGTAAACAGGTGATTTCAGAATATGCAAAACAACTGTGGAGAAATTTTCTCCAGGAGGGGGTATCAGCCCCTTCAGCCCCCTTCAGCCCCCTTCAGCCCCTTTCAGCCCTGAGGGGCCCAGCCCTCTCAGAAGGAGCATGCATCTTGTTTACTGCTACAGCAAGTAATTGATCCCAGATGCAGTACCAGAATGCGACGTGGTCAAGCGACTGCCGCTCCTTGCAAGACTACAGTGTTGCAGTGTAATTTAATATAAGACAGTCCATCTCTTAACTTAGCAGGACAATTAAGGAAAATCCTGCTCCCACTTTATCACCATGGTAAAGATTGTGAACATTGTTGTCTATGCTTAACACAGCAAGAATCAAACATTCTGCTTTGCTTCATAGAGGAAGTTTGGCAGGGAAGCAAAAGTACTAGGTCAGTTTTTCCTTTATGTGCTACGGGTAGTGATGGTGAAGGACGCTGTGGCGTCTTGAGATTACTTTTGACTCTACTGAGAGTCACACTAACGCCAGGATAACCAACAAAGAACATTGACCTGTGCGTTAGTGTGAACAAAGTGTCTCACAAAACACATTAAACAACTACAGAGAAGTGTGATGAGCTTCTTCAGTGATAAGATTGTGAACAATAAAGACAAATCTTGCGGAACATAGTGTACCAGTGTGTGTATTCCTAGATTATGGAAGATGTGGATATCCAAGGACACTTCAGCTTCTATCAAGTCACCGATACCTGTCGAAGGTGTGAAGAACATCATAGCTCAGGATACAAGAGCATGGTAGGTTACGAATTTCTTGTAGTACAGGGGACTGTGCAGTTCTTGTGTCACAAGGAGTTTCTAATCAATCTATAGTCGGCAGTGAGGTGCAGACTTTTGAGTCCACACAAGAAAGCTTGTCAGCAATCAGTTAATGAAATAAGCTGACATAACACCCCTAGGGGTAATTTATTGTTTACATAATATGATCTATTACAGCCCGTTGCGAGATGATCATGACAACAATTCAAGACCTCGTCTGCAGGGGCAGCTGTGTAGACGATTTGCTGTCTTTTATCAGCTAAGTAATCCCTATATTTAAAATTATAAACTTAGCTGGTAACCCATTTCTCAGCATTTTGGTCGTGCTCGAACCAGATAAAGGCCACACTCTGGTCTAAATACGTTGTACTACAGTGTACAAATAACCTACGAGCCAAGGTCCTTTGATAAAAGCTGTAAAACTAGTGTTTTACAATATAATCAGTATAAATGAGTCACTCCAGACTCAATCACAGAGAATGGGCAGCCAAAAGAAAGCGGATGCTCGCCCAGCGTTCACCCAAAGAAAACGGGAGCTGGGTGGCTCATCCAACAAGAAAACGGGGGATGGCACCTTGCATCTACTGCTCCCAAGCTCGAGAAACGCTGACTACAGCAACAACCCAACTGATCAGTTTGTGTGAATGTATATACATATAGTGTTTATAATGTTTATAGACAGAAATTAAGAGACAAGATTGCATTAAAGTTTGTTTCTTATAGATATAACTGTTATATTAAAGGAAACTACATACAAAATTTAAGCTTTCATACATATTAACAGTGATATTTATATGTGTAAGAAATATTCATGTGTGATTTACAGTTATACAGTGTTGAGAAATGGGATTACCAGTTAAGCTTAATTTTAAATTTAAATATTGGGAACACTTAGCTGATAAAAGACAGCAAATCGTCTACACAGCCGCCCCTGCAGACGAGGTCTTGAATTGTTGTCATGATCATCTCTCAATGGTCTGTAATTTGTAAGATTATAAATTTGTAACATTATAAATTACCCCTAGGGGGTGTTATGTCAGCATATTTCATTCACTGATGGCTGACAAACTTACTTGTTTGGACTCAAAAGTCCGCACCTTACTGCCGACTATAGGTTGATTACAAAT